CTACAAACTTCATTAACAGTACGAAAAACTACAGAAAATATGACACTGATATATCAGCAATTCATAATCTACAAGTAACGGTACAAGAATTTAAACATGCTTTTAGGTTTTGCAATAAAACTCAACACAGAACAGGGCAAATCCAGCCCAAATGCAAATAAACCAAGGTAGATATGCCCAAATGTAAATAAATTGCTAGCAATTGCGCTCACTGTGGATGTGCAGACTCCAGAGGGGCCGATCCAACCCAAGCGCTATAATAAGCCAAATACTTGCATGAATCAATAAAGCTGGTTGTGGTGTGTAGCCCGATCCCATGAATATCACTCACAATAGACCCTCAGCCTCGCTCATTCATTAATATCTCCAGTCTCTCGGGCTCACAAGAATCATGAAAATCAGCCCAAATAATGATGATATGATGTATCAATAAAGGATAACAAAGACTGAGATACAATATGAAATAATAGTTATGGCTGAGTACAAAATGGCAAAATAAGCAAATAATTCAACATGTAACACGACCTTTGTGGGTCCCAATAGTACCAACACATAGCATAAGCAGGATTTCTAACATGACTGACAACTCAATTGTTCTAACACATTGTGAAAATACGGTTAACAACAAGATTATTCAACTATACAGTTCCATGGAATCGATCAAGTCACAATTCTTACGGTGCACACCTACACGTCCGTCACCTAGCAAGTGTGCCACCTCAACACTAATCACATAACATGTAATTCGGGGTTTCATACCCTCAGACCCAAGTTTAGAAGTATTACTTACCTCAAACTGTGCAAAACTCTACTCCAACAAGCCCTTGCCTCGCGAATCAGCCTCCGAATACCTTGAATTTAGTCACAAATAATTCGATACAATCAACATGAGCTAAATATGAAAATGCTAAGTTCTTAATCAAAAGTCAAAAAGTCAACTCAAAAGCCGACCCCCGTACCCACGTCTCAGAATCCAATAAAATCCATAAAATTTAGAAGTCCATTCAACCACGAGTCTAACCATATCAAATTTATCAAAATCCAATACCAAATCGTCACCCAAATCCCCAAATTAAACTCTCCAAATTCCTAGCCTCAAACTTCCAAATTTCACCTCAAAAACACACAAACTAGGTAGTAAATTCAATGAAGAAACAAGATTATTGAATAAAAATGATCACAAGTGACTTACCTCAAGAAACCCTTCGAAATCCCTCTCAAAAATCGCCCTAATCCGAGTTTGCAAAGTCAAGAAATGATAAAACCCTAGGAACCCAATGTTTATATTTATGTCCAGGATTTTTCGCACCTGAAACAACTTACCCGCATCTGCAGTGTCGCAAAAGCGACCAATCTCCCACTTCCGCGATGAACCACTGGAAACCCGACCTTTGCACCTACGGAACAAGCTCCGCTTCTACGCAAATGCAGGTGCGACCTCTTTCACGCTCATGTGCTGCCCCTCGCTTATGCGCCCAAACTCACCGCATCTGCAATTCCGCAGATGCGCCCAAAATGTCGCTTCTACGCACCTAGACCACATCCTTCCAGTCCGCTTCTGCGATTCCCTCTTCGTACCAGCGACTTCGCATCTGCAGCCATTCCCCTCGTAGGTGCGATCACACTAGAAGACTCCCAGGCCCCAGCTTCAGCAATGCTCTAAGTCCCATTTTCAATCCGATAACCATACGAACTCCACTCGGGACCCCGAGACCTCAACCAAACACACCAACAAGTCCTAAAACATGATATAAACTTAGTTGAGCCCTCAAATCACATCAAAAATACGAATCACACCCTAATTCAAGCCTAATGAAAACTAAGAAATTCCAACTTCTACAATCGATGCCTAAACCTATCAAATCAAGTGCGATTGACCCCAAAATTTGCACACAAGTCATAAATGACACAACGGACCTACTCTAACTCCCAAAACCACAATCTGATCCTGGTAACCACAAAGTCAACTCTCAATTAAACTTCTAAACTTTCCAAGCCTCTAATTTTCCAACTTTTGCCATTTCAAGTCTAACTCAACTACGGACCTCCAAATCACTATCCGGATATACCTCTAAGCCCGAAATCACCCAACAAAGCTATAGAAACTATCAAAACTTCAATCCAGAATCTTTTACATAAAATTCACATCCGGTCACTCTTTTCAACTTAAGCTTTCAAACCTTGAGACTAAGTGTCTCAACTCATTCCGAAACATCTCCGAAACCGAACCAACTATCCCGGAAAGTCACATAGCAACTATTAAGCATAAAATGAGCAGTAATATAGGGAAACAAGGCTACAACTCTCAAAATGACTAGCATGGTCAATACAATTGTTGAACGTGTTTTTGTTATTCTCAAGAGACGGTTTCGTGTGATTGATAATGAACCCTTGTGGGAATTTAAAATACAAATGGATGTGGTGTTAGCATCGTGCATTCTACATAATGGAGCCAAATGACCCAATAATACAAGAAGTCGACGGGCAACCACTAGTTCAAACACAAAATGCTCAAATTACTCTAAGTTCTCATGGGAGTCAAACCTATCAGACATCTAGAGAAAGATGTTAAGAAGCTAGAGAATGGTCATTGAAAAGAGATGCTATTGCTCATGCCATATTTACAAACTATGACCGGAGGAGGAATAAATGAATTTAGTCTATCTAGAAATAGATTTTTTATGGTCATCTTGGTTTTAATGGTTTATGTTTAATTATTTATGTTTTCATATACTCTTATGTATAGTGATTATACATTTTATATGATTAAGTTGTCTTATCTCTATTTATCTTAAATTTCGTATTTGACATATTTTATATAACAGTTAACAATGGTAAAAAAAAGGAGATAAACAGTTTAGGTGGTAAAAACTAATGGAATATTTGATGTTGGGGATCCTGGTTGATGAAGTGAAGCAAGGGAATAAATCAACTAATCAATTTAAGGCCAACTCATTCAATCGTGTTTTGTATGCCATTAAGCAACAACTAGGAATGGATGAATGTTCACCTAAGCATGTGGAGAATCATTTCAAAATACTAAAAAGCACATGGAATACAGTACAAACTCTACTAAATAAAAGTGGTCTTGGATGAGATGATAGCTTGAAGATGATTACTACAAGTCCTAGAGTTTATGCTTTACACGTTCAGGTAAAATGCTTTTATATATATACTTTCCTTATAGTTATTACATAGTTGTTGTAATAATTACTCTTTCTTAATTTGTCTTTTTTTTTCTGCTTTTGTTTTTTCTTTATTCTTTCTTCTTTTTTGGCTTAGTGCCTTAGTCTCAGTTTGATACTACAAATTATTCATGATTCTTGTTGGACGCTGTTTGCAAAGTATTCAGATTGTGAGCTTCATTTGATATTCATTTCACACCCTTGCTAGAGTTAGTTAGGCAGTTAGAGGAGTGACATCATATCCTTTTCATGTGTGTTGCTTGCATATATATCTTTGTAAAACAAATATGATTGGTATGAATAAAGATATCTCTTTTTATTGTTCCGTGTTACTGTTCTTTCATTTCTTGTTGCATCTTTTTCTATTATGGTTCCTTGTAGCTCATTGAATTATTGAATTTTCATGTGATAAAAAATGAAGATCCTAAAAGTGTCCATGGGAAATACTGTATGTTGGACTGATCTGAACACGTATTACGAGCAGTTACTAGCAAATGCTAGCAATGTGATAGTGTGGGCAATGCTCCTAGATGAGGTCAATAAATGGCTCGTGTCAGTATTTTTTACTAGATTATTAATGCTATACAAATTTACAACATCATTTTGAATATTTCAGGTATGAGCAAATAGATGCTTTACCTTTTATATTTTGGATATTGGTTGGGCAAAGTTGGAAAAATGGTGAAAAAAATTGGTAACTTTAATCATATATGTACACTATCACCTCTAGAATGTATTACACTTGAAGAGGAAAACATCCTCAAAGTAGAAAATACTGTTAAATTGAGGAGGATATCTTAAATAGAGCAACGAGGCTAGTTAATGAATGAAGAAAGTTTACCGAAGATTTGCATAACTTAAAAATATCAAATATGTTCCTGACCTATTAAAACATAATCCATTTCCTGATTAGTTTGAGGCTCTTGTGGTATTCTGAACTGATAGACTTTGCATATAGAGGTAGATATTGTCTCAGTTTCATCCAAAGGGATACTTACATACATGAAAAGAGTTGAATAAAACAGTGGAAGCTGCTTTTAATAATGGAAAGGAAGTGATGTCCTATGTATTAGTGAAATATTACTCTATTTTTAAAAAGAAATTTACTGATGCGATGCTCTATGAAAACACACAGCGAATCAAGTTTATAGGAGATGATTGTATAAGTATGTACTTGCACCAATACCTTGTTTAAGTTGATTGTGATGCCCCTTTGCGAAGTGGTATCAAGAATGATTTCTCTTGTCGGAGAGTTGTTTGGTCTTTGTTTTACCTTTTTCGCTCCCTTCTTTATTAGAGAGACTAGTTACTTTACAGAGATATCCTACCTTTATTCCTACCATTTTAATTTGTGAAGCAAGCAATTTGGTGAGTGTTTTTTTAGTTCTCCATATCTCGATTCTAGCTCCACGACTGTTAGTAGTGTTGGGAGAGCATGAAGCGACGCAAAGCGAGGAGGCCCCAATTCGCTTAAAGCATGAAGCGTGAAATGAAGCTCTCGCTTCATTGAAGTGAAGCGAAATTTTATGGTTTCTGTCATTCTAGTTTTATACATTTTCCCTACCATGTGAAGAAGTCTATTAATTTACAAATTTGGTTAAGTTCTTGGATTTGAGAAATGGTCCCTTTTTATATGAGATGTTTGTAGCTTATGTACTTCTTCATTAGCATATTATGAATTAGCAATAATTGAAGAGTTAGGGTTAAAAGGTTGCTGGTTGATAAATATCTGGATTAGTTGCTATTTTGGTAGTTGTGTGTTACTGTCTTGCTTGTCCCGTTTCTTATACTTTTTGCTTTGTCATTGTTTTATAGGCTCATCCTGCTCATGAGAAGTTCATAAACAAAAAGATTGAAATGTTTTGAAGAAATGTCCCCAGCGTGTGGGAATGATCAAGCTAGGGGTGATTGTAAGTCGTTTGATAATATAGGCTTGGATTGTAGTTCAGAGAAAGGTAATGATAATGACGTTGAAGGACCATCTAAGGAAAAAGATGTGCAAGATGTAGTAAGTAAAACTTCTCAAGTCAAAGCAAGCTGTAAACGAAGTCGTTCTTCTGATGTGCAAGATGTGGTCAATGATATATCATCAAAACTTGGAGAAGTGGTAATGACAATCAGTAAGATAGCTGATAGTCGACTAGATGTGACAAGATTGCACGAAGAAATTATGGCAATGGAAGGTTATGAAGAAGAGTTCTTAGGTGAAGCTTTTGATTATTTGGTGCAAAGTGATATGTTAGCTAAGGTATTCATGGCGAAAAATCAGAATCTCCACAAGGTTTGACTGGAAAAATTCAAGCGACAACACTAAAATACACAAATGGGGTTGAAAGAACAAAGCTAGAATATGAAGCAATTGTTATAGAAAAATATTTTGTTGCTTGTCTTATATGGTTTGTGATACTTCAGTGATGATTTTTCTCATGTCTACTTGCTTCTTGAGTACTCATATATTGGGAATGATTATTATGGAGTTGCTCATATTTCTTCTCTTTTATCTGTGTCTGAGACGTTTATCATTGTTAGCCTGAATCTTATATGTTGCAAGATGTTATATAATAGAAATAACGTTTAGAGTACTTTCTTCTCATGTTGTAGATAGAGTACTTTCTTTTTTATTTTAACAAAAATGAGTATTTTCTTTTCATGATGTACTTTCTTTTTATGTTGTAAAAAGGGTACTTTTATTTTGTTTCAACAAGAAAAAGAGTATTTTCTTTTCAGTTATGGAGCTCAAATTTCAACGTTCTTGTGTGAAAAACTAAATTACCATATTAGTTCCTTTGGGTTTATGTGAATTTTTTAGAAGAATAATTGAATTCTTGAAGAAAAATAGAGTTGTGGAAATGTTGANGGGGGAACACATAAAACATAGGAACTGGGGGGAGGATGGGGGTGATGAGAGTAGCGTAGAAAATTATTTTCCTGAAAAAAGATTTTCTACTCTCTAACCAAACACTAAAAAATATTTTTCGAAAAAAGGTTTTTCACTCATCAATCAAATATGAAAAAATAAGTAATAACACTATTTATTTTTCAACCTGAAAAACATTTTCCAAGGTACCAAACACACCCTCAGTGGGTTTCCAATGTATTTTCCCAAAGTCAAATATGATAAGTAAAAATGACTCGAGGAAATATTATTAATGTAGACTTTTATACTGATATTATCATTCTTATTCAGCAAATCGCTCTAAATTGTAGGACTACATAGGGGCATTTTCATATATACTCATTTTTGGGGCCACCATTGAAGTTATACTCGTATTGCATAAAATTTTACAAAGTATACCCGCTCGAATTTGAAGTAGTTCAATCTCTTTAATGCAACTTCAGAAATCGAATATGAAGTTCTTCTATCTTTTAAATGCTACTTCAGAAATTTGAATATGAAATAGTTTAATCTTTTCAATGCAACTTCATAAATCAAAACTGAAGTTCTTCTATCTTCCAAATGCAATTTCAGAAATTCGAATCTCAAGTAGTTCAATCTATTTTGAATGCAACTTCAGATTTCAAATCTTAAGTTTTGAAACATAAACTTGTTTTTCGAATTTCAACAATCCAATACATGATTCAGTGCCTAAATCTACTCCAAATATGCTCAAATTTGAAATATCATAAAGAACAAAGCTCAATCATTAAATTGTCAAAACAACAACAAATTTAACAAACTCATTTTACAACTAAGAAGAAAGAGAAGAAAATCTAAGTACAAAGAAGAAGAAAACAATAGCAAAGAAGAAGAGAAAAAATGTATGAATATCCAAAAATTGAATATCAGTTGAACTCTCTTTTAAAAGTTGGTACAAACGCAAAACTGAAACCACATGAAAATTTTACGATTACGTAATTGGGTTAACTACTGGGCTATCATTGGCATTTCAGCCCAAAAGCAACTACAGCCCAAATGGAACGAGGTGCACGTGACTTTTACTAGATCCCTCAGCTAACATCACAGAGAGCACGTGACTTTCCCTGATTTTTCTCATCCAAATCCAAATTTCGAGGAACTCGCGGGCGGAATCCAAACTCACACTCTTAACCAAATTTAAACCCCAATTTCCAAATCCAAAATTACAAATCATAGGATTCCACTATTTATTATTATTATTGCTATTGCTACTAATAGTAAATATTGTTGATAGTATTATTTAGTGGGTACTGTTTGTTCTATTTATTATCTCATCTCTTATTCATCACGCTTTCTGCTTCTCTCTTCAACCGCCACACCCTTCTTCTCCCCCCTTCGAGAAAAACCCTAGTTCTAGGGTTAGGGTTTTTTCTTCCAAAATCTTTCTTCGTTTACGCTTCTATTTTTGCTCTACTTTATCATTATTTTTAGTTGTAATTTTGGTTCGTCTGTTTGGATCTGAGAGTTAGTAGAGATGGACATTCGGAAGAGAAACAGAAACGAAGGTGGTTTCAATGCCAATGGAGGTTTCAAGAAGGCTAAGTCAGGTTTGTGTTTTTGTTTTTTTTGTTTTACAAAACTTCTTAGATCTACTTTTGCTTTTAAGTTTCTTGCTTGTTTTGCTCTGTTTTACTAACCTTTTTGTTATATTCTTTAGTGGTTATAGAAGCATTTTTATTGTTGGCCAGCGTTTGGCTGGAACGTTGTTTGGGATATTTATTTGATTTAATTTAATTTAATAGTAGTAGTGGAAGAAACTACTAGAGTGATATTTGAAAAAAAAACAATTGAAAAATTCGAATTGTTAAATGAATTTGAATTCTTGAACAGTGCTACAGATATAATATTAAGAATGTGTTGAGACTTGTGACTTAGGTCACAGGTTCGAGCCCTGCCCCATGAGAACTAGGTCTGACATTTAAGTGGAGAAGGGTAGAGGGTCGGCCCCATTATTCCGGAGTTTCGAGGGCTGCCTTTAGTCCTAAAGATTGGCCCCTAAACAGATTTCTGGTCGTAAAAAGATTAGAATTTAAAAGGGCTAGTAGAGACTGCATTTTGGAAATTTTATTTTTATCTCACCCTAAAGGATGAAATGGAGAATAACCAATAGTTTTTATCGTATACATAGAAAAAACTAAAGAACATCTGAATTGAAATTTAATATAGTTACATCTGCTTTGTATGATGAAAGTGGGTTATCTTGAAGAGTTATAATATTCACCTTATAGGTAAGTCCTGTTATGCTGGTAATAAAAATTATGATGTCTGTCTAATTATATCAGTTCTTAAACAACTAACTAATTTCTAACTGGTAAAAAATTTAATTAATTTGGTGCAACAGAAATGGACTCGTTATCAAGTGGTATAGGAAGCAAATCGAAGCCGTGCACGAAGTTTTTCAGGTTCAAATCTTTACCTATGTAATCTAATATTGAAGTTTGAACTTTAATTTATTGTGGAATTTAATTGATCTCAAGTGCAACAATTCATAATTTCTAATAATTCTTCTCTTGTCATAAGCGCCAAAAAATAGATTTCTGCTCGTGAGATCCCCAAATGCTCTAAAATGCTCTAGAAGCATAACGATGAACAATTTTGCTGAGATTATTATTGTCAGCTATTACGTATTTGGAGGAATTATAATGTCCATGGTTTCTCACATACAAGCTATTGTTAACAAATTTTCCAGAGATAGCATTCCCAGCTATAGTGGAGATGGAGTGAGAAACAATATGGTTTCTCAATGACAAACTTCTATATTTTCTCAACAACAATCTTTTATGGTTTGTTGTATCCCAATAATCATGTAATTATTTGCCCCACAATTATCTTAATTGTTATCAGCCTTCTTGTAATGTATTTAGAATAGCAGGTACGTGATTTTGTCTCTTATTTACCGAGGTATACTAGCTTCTCTTTAACTCTAGTTTAATTCTTGTAATCTACAGTGGATATTAGCTACCGTTTATTGGTCTTAATGGCCCATTTTTTGGAACTCTTTTGGCTCTCTGAGAACTGTTGTAAGTTGTTTGAAGAGGTGAATTGCTGTTAAAAATATTGAGATTAAAATACTCAGGGACATCTGTAAGCTCCAGTGCTGTTTACCTTGATTTTTTGTGCATCCTATTTATCTATCTTTGTTAATTCTTTTGATTATGTGACTGGTTATGCATTGAGATTTTCTGAGTCGCATGTGATGAGTGGTTCTGCATTGAGATTTTCTGAGTCGCATGTGACACTTGGAAGAACGTGGAAGTGTATATGCTCTTGTAGACTTTATTTTCTTATTTCAAAAGAACACTCAGAGCAAATGCAAGTGGTGTCCTACTAGTTGGGTTATGGATATTGATTACAAAAGAGATGGTGTAGTATTTTTTCCCATTAGAAGTATTGATACTTTAGCAATGTGCGAGTGAGTTTCATACATTAGATATTTTTGAAACACATTTAAGTGATTCAGCCTAGCCAGGCTGCTAAGCTTTTTTATCTTTCTGTGTGTTTTTGTTTTCCAGCCAATTTGCAAGCTAGACATTTTTTGGGGAGGAAGAGATTTTTAAAATGATTTCTTTCTCTTTTCTTTTAGGTGTTTTTAACAATTTGATGTTGGTGCTAAACTAATAGTCTTCTTTTCTGGAATTGTGGAGTGGTGGGTGCTAATAAAAGAAGACTATATTGGAGTTAATACATTTTTTTTCCATTTATTTTTATTTTTTAATTCAATTTTTGTTCTTGAAGTGCTGTTTTGCTTTTGTTCCAAATGGATAGTTTTCTTTGTTTATCTGCTTTGGAGGTTTTTCTTTTTTTTTTTTTGGGG